TTTAATATTTCGACATTAATTATGTCATCATCAGGAATGAAAAAATTATCCATATTAGTAAGCTTATATGCACTAGTACCAAAAGTGTTTAACCAATCAAAACATTACTTCTAGTAGGTGACATAGCAGTGATTTAAACAAAAGATCAAAGCATTCTTACTCTAATGATCGAGGATACCTACAAAAACAAAGAAAGCTCTTTTGAAGCTCTGAGCCCATTGTTAAGCAAAGGGTGTAGTCTACGTATAGCGAACGCTTCTTTAAACAATAGGATAGACCAGTTTCGGGAGCTGTCAATAATGTTAGTACTAGAAAATATTAAACCTAATTTATTATTTACATTACAGACGACATTATCATTTTCAAGTATACCCTGTAATCCTAAAACATATTGGAATGCCTCACAGTTTTTAACATGATCAAATATAACACTATCAGATCGTGAAGAATGTTCTTTAAGTCTAGTGATTGAGCACCTATCTGTCTTACCAATATAATCACTATTGCAGCCTGGACATTTAAAATGATAGACAACAGAACTTCTGTACTCCTTAGGGGTTTGATCCTTAGTAGATATAAAATGAGAAACATTTTTATACTGCCATAAAGTTATGAATTTTACCTCTTTAATTAAGTGTTTCTTTACCTAACATCTACGTAAAATGAACTCACCTGGTTTTCCTAGATAAGGCAATCTAACCCAAATCTTAATCAAGCTATCATCAGTAGGCCTATGTATACATTTAGGTTCATTTAATTTCTTAAGTACATTATTAACAACTTTTAAAGGGTACCCATTCCAAGACTTAAACTTCCTGATGTTACTAAGCTCTGTTTGAAGTTTATCAGGAGTACACAATCTGTGGGCTCTAGAAACTAGACTACTAATCCAGGAGATTTTATGGTTCCATGGAGCAAAGCTATCATAATGGATATATTGACCTGTATGTGTATTTTTACGATATATACTCATACTTCTTACATTGTTGTTAAATTGTAAATCCAGAAAGTGTACTGTGTCACTGTTTTCAAATGATTCAAAAGTAAAATTTATCTGTCTATGAAAAGCATTGAAGTAGCTTAGAATTTGCGGGAAATCATTGGGCTTAGCTAATACTAGCGTGTCGTCAACAAAACGAGTATAACACTTAATAGTACCTGATTCAATAAGTTTAGGAACAATAGACTCTTCTAGTTCAGTCATTAAAATATTAGCTAAAACTGGGCCCAGAGGCGAACCCATTGAGACACCATCAGTTTGTTTATAGAATTCATTATTACATGTAAATACAGTTTTAGTACAGCAATCTCTAAGTAGCTTCCTTAGCGAATTTTTCTTAAGGTTAGTAGATAACAGTTTCTTATTGTAAACTCTATCAAGAATTATATTAATTACCTTAGTAAGGGGAACATTTGTAAACAGAGATTCAACATCAAAAGATACAAAACGGTAACCTGAATTATATAAATTGTTTGGTATAGCTTTAATGCGGTCAGCAGCATCAAAAGAATCTTTAAGGACAAAGTCATTAACCGTTAGAGGGCCTAATAAGTTTGATAAGTACTTAGCTACTGAATAATAACAAGTACCGGTCGTGTCAATAATAGGTCTTAGGGGTGGAATATTATCAAAATCTTTATGTAATTTAGGTAGTCCATAGGCTCTAGCAGGCATGGTTGATACTGCACGAATTTCTTTGTATTCAGTTTCAGTTAGTTCATTTCTATTAAATAGTGTCCGGAGGTAGGCTTGTAAGGAGTTAAGCTGCGTAGTTAATGAACAGTTAGATAGTTTCTTAAACTTAGTTGAATCAGAGAACAAGTTTGTCATAGATGTGATATAATCAGTTTTCTTCATTATCACAACACCATTTCCTTTATCAGGTTTAAGAATTACATACTTATTACGTAAGATTTTTAAAATATTAATACGTTTGGCATCACAATTTAAATTTCGGTTATCAAAGTCAAGAAAGTTACATGTCATTGCACGAATTGAGTTCTTAATTTTCTCACGTTTAATAAATGATTTAGGTAGAGCATCAGCATTATTAAGTTGATTCAGCATAAACTAACATATCAGAGTCCTTAGGTCGTGTAGCTAATCCATTACGGATACCAAATGTTAAGACAGATTCTTCTTCCTTAGATAATGTTTCGCCAGTTAAGTTAGTAATTATATGGTTAGGGTTCTTACACGTTCCATTGACTCAACAACCTACATGTTTTTCATCATTGCCGTGATAAAAAAGAAAACAAAAAAAATATAGTATATCAAATTTACAAAGCATACAATATAAAGGAAAGGCTTAAATACAATAAAACAAAATATGATATTTTGGATTTTTGTGAGGAGAATCAATTAGGGGGCCTATATGTATTTTCTGATTGCTTTAGTATTTGTTTCAATTGTATTGCTTGAAAAAGTCACCGTCATTTTTCACTTTTCGATTGCTGATCGATAAATGGTGCTATGCTGAGCGCCCACC